ATTTCAAGTAAAATAGATACTGACAATGTTTTCTTTTTTTACAATGAGAGTAAAGGGAGGCACACCATGGCAGTTTATGTATTCGAGATTCTGCTTGAGGCTATGAGCTGAATGTGGAGCAATTCCTATTATGTAGCTATCGTGAGCTAAAGTGGAACTCCGAGCATAATTTTGGTCAAAAGAGGACAACTGATTTCCAAGGGTGTGAAAGACCATCTACATCAAACCGGGACAACCTTCCCTAAATTGGGGTGGGGGCCTTCATCACCATTTGTCTTCCACATATAGTGCCCATTTTAACATCTCTACCCTGGGAATTTGGCACCTTCATCCAAATAGTTTAAACAGTGAACACAAGTCTCAGATTTCATGGCACCATGGTATGGAAATAAATGAAGGTGGCTTTAAAAACTGTCACACCTCCGATTATGTTCTTGGACAATCATCCTTGACACATTCCATGGTGATTCGGTTTAAAGGAGAACTATGGGGTTAAGGCTTTTCCCCATAGTTCTCCTTAGGGTAACGGCAGGACACAAACTAGCGTCCTCCCGTCACCCTAAGCTCAGTATATAGGGAGCTACAGCTCGCTGTACACTGAGACGCCGCAGCTGAAGCGGATCCCGACAATTATGTCTGGATCCGCCCAGCTGCGTGAGTGACAGCTGGCTCTGCCTATCTAGAGGCAGAGCCAGCTGTACCCGACCCCTCCCCCGTCCGTTCCGCCAGTCAGCGCTGGAGGATCGGAGCGGGGAATCCAGCCCCTCCCCTGTCACGGCAGAGAGCCGTGACAGGATCGAGAGGTGAGCGAATGCCGGTATGTGTTCCCTCACTTCCCGATCTACTGAGCCGACCTGTGACAGTCTCATTGTCACAGGTCGGCTAGAACTATGAGGTGAGTGAAAGCACTCACCTCATAGTTCTTCTTTAAGGTGCCTGTGCTACATGTGAGGATATAATATTGGGGTATCTTCTTGGGACTCATTAGAATTAGGGAAAAAGTTTGCATAAGGGGTGAAACGTCTTCAACATCACAGAATACACAATGGGCGTGGCTTTCCCTTTAAGAATAACTTACTTTGCATCTAAACCGACCATATATAATGCAACAATACCATTTCTTATGTAGCTGCACGCCATTTGTCCTGTTACCAGGGAAACAATAGCAGAACAGCCCGTGGACATAGATCTGAAGGTTTAACAAACCTACAGCATCTCAGTACTTAAATGTGACTCCATCTTTATCTTCCTCTTCTTTAACACTTGCAAATCGAGCTTATCAGGGGGACTTGGGTAATATGGGGGCTGGGTCAATTGGAACAGAAGTTGGGGCTTAACATTACTCTAAAAAAATTGACAGTCCTTATCTTTTCTACCCACTTCTTTGCAGTATATATTATTCTTCAACAATACAGAGGTCAGCCTATGCTTCGAAACCAAGAAAAGCATGCCGAAGCTATGATGCTGTAATGAATGTGTTGCCAAAAGAAAGTTATCACAAGATAAAAGAAGAATTACCTGCCATGAACCCATTTTATATCACCTACAGCCTTGGAACTGACTGTAGTAGGCCCCTGGTGACCTAATAAAAGTCAGTACAGGCCGACGTGTCAATGGCACAGCTAAAATCATACGTCTTTGCACCCTAGCAGCTGTACAAGGTATCAGCGAGTAAGGGGAGGTGGGACTATGAGCAGCTCTCATTGGCATAAGCTTGGGTAAAGCTACCTTGCTTAACAGCATACAGGAACAAAAGGTGCTTGCCAGGAAAGGGGGCACATTGAGGATGCAAGTAAACATAAGTGACTATTATATGTTTCAGAGAGCATTGGATAATCCTGTTACTCAAGTGAAATAAAAAACATACTTTAAAGGAGAACTATGGGGTTAGGGCTTTTCCCCATAGTTCTCCTAAGGGTAACGGGAGCACACAAACTAGCGTCCTCCCATCACCCAAAACTCAGTATACCGCGAGCTACAGCCTGGACGGATCCCGACAATACTGTCTGGATCCACCCAGCTGCGTGAGTGACAGCTGGCTCTGCCTATTTAGAGGCAGAGCCAGCTGTACCTGCCTCCTCTTCCGTCCATTCCGCCAGTCAGCGCTGCAGGATCGGACAGGGGAGAGGGGGGGAATCCCTGCAGGGAGCAGAAAGTAACAGTCACGGCTCTCTGCAGGCACAGGATCGAGAAGTGAGCGAGCGCCGGTATGTGTTCTCTCACTTCCCGATAAGTTTCATTGTCACACTTCGGCTCGAACTATGAGGCTGAGTGATTTTCACTCGCCTCATAGTTCTCCTTTAAACGTCCCATAAGACAGTAAATCCAAATTTTAAAATGTAAAGTAGAACTGTGGCCAGGTTATGGACTTTCAAATATTTACAGATTCCCAACAAGCAGAAATTAACTCTCATACAAGCCCTTACTGACCTCTGTAGCTGCAGGCACTCTGAAGTAATTCATGCTTGAAGTTTGCACCATTCACATTGTGTCTATAGTTCAGCTCCCTACACCCAGCATTCTAATCTATAATGTAAACATAGAGCAGGTGTACAGGAAGAGGAGAGTGGAGAGTGCTGAGATCCCACCTCAACGACTTCACTGCTTCTACTGTGAAATTTGAGGATGAATTGCTTTACGGTGGCTGTTACTACAGAGGTCATTGAGGGATTATTTTAAAGCTTATTTACTCTTTGTTAAGCATATGTAAATAATTGAATATCCATAACCCGACCACTGTTCTACTGTAAGCTACTCTCTAGGTAACCTAAACACGGGTCAGATCCTCCCTGTAAATATACAGCATATCTAAGAATTTACTTTGAGCCTGTCATGTCATGAGATGAAGGCTCAAGCCAATCCTTGCTATGATGAAAACTTCCAACAAACATTTTGAAAGTTGAAGGCAAAACTTCCACTTGCCAGTATTGGCACACAACATGCCCACTTTGAGAATTCCTACCCTTGTTAGTGTTGCTGATTTATTATCATTCCACCAAAGAAGGAATCGATAAGTATAGAATTGGTTTCCTCTCTCTTAGGCCAATTTGGAAAGACAATACAAGGCTCCAACATAATGCATAACATTAAAGGAGAACTATGGGGTCAGGGCTTTTCCCCATAGTTCTCCTTAGGGTAACGGGAGGACACAAACTAGCGTCCTCCCGTCACCCTAGGCTCAGTATACCGCGAGATGTAGCTCGCGGTATACTGAGACGCCGCAGCTGAAGCGGATCCCGACAATTGTGCCGGGATCCGCCCAGCTGCGTGACTGACAGCTGGCTCTGCCTATCTAGAGGCAGAGCCAGCTGTACCCGCCCCCTCCCCGTCCGTTCCGCCAGTCAGCGCTGGCGGATCGGGGAGGGGGGAATCCAGCCCTCCCCTGTAACGGCAGAGAGCCGTGACAGGATCGAGAGGTGAGCGAACGCCGGTATGTGTTCGCTCACCTCCCGATCTATTGAGCCGACCTGTGACAGTCTCATTGTCACAGTTTGGCTAGAACTATGAGGTGAGTGAAAAGCACTCACCTCATAGTTCTCCTTTAACCAACCAAACAAATTTGCCTTGGTGAAAACATACACTATACGGCCACATGTTTGTGGACTCCTGACCATCACACCTTTATGAGCTTTGTTGGACCTCCCATTCAAAAACCATGAGGATTTCTATGGAGTTGCCCCACCTTTGTGGCTGTAACAGCCTCCATTCTTATGGTAAGGCTTTCCACAAGATTTTGGAGTGTGTATGTGGGAACTTGTGTTAATTCAGCCAAAAGAGCATTTGTGAGGTCAGGTACTGATGTTGGACAAGAATACCTGGCTTACAATTGGTGTTACTTAGGGTGGTGTTCAGCTCTTCTTGTCCAACTAACGTAGGACAAGAAGACCTGTCTTGCAATTGGTGTCCAGGGTAGGGTTGAGGTCTCTGTGAAGGCCACTCGAGTTGCTCTACACAAAACATGTCTTATGGAGCTGGCTTTGTACACAGGGGACAGTCATGCTGAAAAAGGTCTTCACCAAATTGTTACCACAAAAGTTGTCAGGTCACAATTTTCTCAAATATCTTTAAAGGAGAACTATGGGGTTAGGGCTTTTCCCCATAGTTCTCCTAAGGGTAACGGGAGGACACAAACTAGCATCCTCCTGTCACCCAAAGCTCAGTATACTGCGAGCTACAGCTTGCGGTATACTGAGACGCCACAGCCAGAATGGATCCCGTCAATTATGTCTGGATCCGCCCAGCTGCGAGAGTGTCAGCTGGCTCTGCCTATCTAGAGGCAGAGCCAGCTGTACCCACCCCCTCCCCCGTCTGTTCCGCCAGTCAGCGCTGTAGGATCGGACAGGGGAGGGGGGAATCCAGCCCCTCCCCTGTCACGGCTCTCTGCACAGGATCGAGAAGTGAGTGAGCGCCGGTATGTGTTCACTCACTTCCCGATCTACTGAGCCGACCTGTGACAGTTCCATTGTCACAGGTCGGCTCAGATTATGAGGCTGAGTGAAAATCACTCACCTCATAATCCTCCTTTAAGTGCTGCAGCATTTACAGAACCCTTCACTGGAAACACCCAAACTGAGTAACTTAAAGCAGGGGCCACATACCTTTGCCCATATAGTGCATTAAAATCCCTGACGAAGATTAATGCCATTTCATGGACCACTTTCCCTATCATAGCTCAACCAAAAGTTTTTAAAAGCTCATTTAATATTATGTAAACAACATGTAATATAGAATTATTATTTTTTTAAAACTTTTTTCAGTTTTTTTTTGCTTTATAAAAGCATCCCTCCAGCACTTGGGGCGGGTTAAGGGGCGTGACTCCCTAAAAGGGACCCTTGCCAAAACATTATCCTTCATTTACAAGATGAGGTAATAAGCGCGACGCCGCATGAGACAACTGAACTCTTGATACGGAGGTTTTGAATTGTTGGTGAATCATGTGACACAGTATTCGGTAGTTAAAAATGTAAAAACGGTTCAGAAAAAGGCAAAAAAGTACTTTATCGGCATTAAAGACATTACGTGACTGCTCGATGTTGGAAAGTTCAACACTGAAGACAAAAGCAAGAAATAATTATTCTTTTTTTTTATCTTACTCCCAGAAAAATAGTAAACTTAAAAGCACAAATGTTTGTTTGTGTTTTCCCCTTCTCTGTAGTGTCCTGTTACAAACGGATCTGATTTGCTATTTACAGTAGAAATAGTTTTTGGTGAGCTAATGTCGTGAGTCCACGGCGAAACTCGAAGCTGTTTGTCGGGTCCTAAACGTTGACGTCGGCGAGATACAGATGGTCTTTTGGACCTGCCCTTAAAATAGAACATGAAAAAGTCTCTGTTTCGGCCGTAGAGTTACCGTTCGTTGTTAAGCTACAGTGGACGCATTTTGGAGTTTTTTTGTTTTTGTTTTCCAAGTCGGGTCACGTGGAAAGTCCAGGCCTATTCCTCTACGGTGTAGCGGTTTTGTTTGACAAACAAACTCAGGACATGGTGGACAAACTGATACTGTTCGCTGGTTTGAATCATTCCTCCCCTAGAAAGGAAAACAAATATGCAACAAGTAAAACTACTGCACATGCCCTATATTTCCTGCAGTGGCAAATGCCTAAGCCCTAAACTTTTTTCTTTTGTGTTGGATAGAGTAGGGAATGGAAGAGCAGGACTAAACTCAGCATTAGAATCTGAAAGGACGTCAAAATCCTACACTACAGCTTCAAGAAATACTATCTATCTTATACATACCCTAAGATAACTTCACACAATAACAACCATGCGTGTTGAAACCAGAGCCATTTTGGAAACATTCTTGTCCTTCACTTCCTAGCCCACCACTGACGTTGCGATTAAATCCTGAGCTTGCCTATAAAAGAGACCCGAGCCTCTCTCCCGTTTCAATATCGCTATTGTATTGCTTGCTAGAGGATGTGGTGTCACCCTGGCAGAGGGAAGAGCAGGTTCTGGCTTCAAAGGATGCTGAGACCAGTGGTCCATGCAGTGCTCTCTCAGCATCCTTTGAAGCCAGAACCTGCTCTTCCCTCTGCTTGCGTGACAGCCCATCCTCTAGCAAGCAATACAATAGCAATATTGAAACCACTTTTCAATGGGCTGTGAAATTTTTAAAGGAAGCCTCTATTCCTGTTTTTTGGTGGATTTGACCCAAATAAATAGACTACTTTTAAGGCGAGCTTCTATATGGCATGAAGTTTACTTTATGAGTTTATTTCTGCTTTAAAACCCCTGTCTGTGTCCTGCTGGAGAGATTCCCCTTGACTTCTAGCCTTGGAGACACAACGGAAAGTGAGAGAAAAAATCCCCAAAATAAGGGGAATTCCTTAATTACGTGGTTGACACCAGAACATTTGTCACCTTTGGAAGACTTCCTCTCAGTTCTTGCTCCTATGGCTAGTCTAAAAGTTATGATTAAGGCCTCATTCACACTAGAAACGGCCGGCACGTACAGCTCCATGCTGCGTGCACGGCCGTATCGGCCAGCTCCCGGGAAGGACGGGTGCTGCGTGTGATTAGTAAGCAGCCCCTGTCCTTCTCTATGGGAATAAGCGGCCGTACGCCGCCCTACGCTCACCCTCAGGATAGATCCTGTCTGTGTCCGAGCCGGGACACCCGCACGGACTTGCAGCCGCTTATTCCCATAGAGAAGGACAGGGGCTGCTTACTAATCACACGTGGCACCCGTCCTTCCCAGGAGCTGCCCGATACGGCCGTGCACGCAGCATGGAGGTGTACGTGCCGGCCGTTTCTAGTGTGAATGAGGCCTTACCCTTACTTTTTTTCAGTGAAGGTGGTCATCAGGAAAAATAGTGGGGTGACTCTCTCCAGCAGTGACAAAGCCCACAATAAAGACTTGGCGGAAGGTCAAACCTTTCCACATTCTATACAAAACTAAAAAAAAAGTTTTCCCTTGACATAACCTTTAACTTTGTAACCTAGTGAGAGGGTCAAAAGACTTGAAGTTCTGAGGGATCATTTTTCATTAATGACTCAGTAATCCATTAATGACTCCCTGATTTACTAAGTCAATATGGCGACTATGTTACACTTTCGGTACTGGTAGCCCAGAGTCCTTTTGGCTACGTTTACATGTGCTGGAGTAAACAGCTGTAATCATTGCATGCAACGTTGGGTCGGTATGGCACTACACTATGCCCAATGAACCATTATGACATCCCTGAAGAACAAAAGCATCTGCCACTAAATGCAAAAAGATCAATATTCTTTTAAATATACACTGTATCACAAGAAAAATAAACACACCTGTTCAATTGTTAAAACATACCAAAACTTCATGTATAATCTTTCTATGAATATGTTAGGTGGTTTCTCATGGAAGGAAAAAACAATCGTCTTTCCATGGAGAACAGACCCAGATGTGAACATAGAGATACCGAGCAGCAAGCAGGTGAGTGCATCCAGGTGACTACAAGGTATACAATGCATTGATGATCCACATAACTACAGTATAACATTGAAAATTATTTCCAAGAGCAGAAAGGAAGGAAAGAAGAAAGGAGGGAAGGAAGGAAGGAGAGAAGGGAAGGAATGGGACCGTAATATACAGGGGTACAGGTACTCCTAGAATGAGATCCTAATAGGTTGGACTTGATGGACTAATGTCTTTATTCAACCTCAAATACTATGTAACTATGAATGAGAAAACTGAGGAGCCACCACAGTACTCAGGAGCAACAAAAAACATTTTGGTTAAAGGAAGAGTGCGTGTCATAGGAAGTTATACTCTGGCGAGAGGTGATAAGACCCTTATTGCTCAATACATTGCTTGGTCTCCCAGGGCTGTAGCTACCATGGGGCGAGTGAGGAATTCGCCTCAGGAACAGCTGAGAGGGAGCGCAACCAGGGCCGGCCTGGCTGCGCCCCCTCGCCCCTGTTGCGATGGCGAGCACGGGGCGCCATTGGCAACAGGGGCGCCAGGCGGCCAACACAGCCGTGGGAGAAGAAGAGCGTCACAGGCTCCAGCTTCTCCTCGGATCCCCGCTGCTGTCGCCCACCTGTATGGGCAGAGGACTCTGTGTCCTCAATCTCTTTTTCTATTTCAAAAGGGAAATGTCAGGGGTCTGTTTAGACCCGCAATATTTCCCCGAATTCCCCCGGATACTAAAAATGTGTTCATTAGTTTCGTCGAACGAAAACATTTTTTATGCTATTTTGGATTTGGCCACCAGTGCATTCTGCGCATGCGCGCTGCCATCCTGGAGGCGGGGCGCATGACGTCCCATACCGCACATGTCTGTTGGGGGG